CAGTCAGAGGGGCCGGGTGGGCCGAGGGGAAGTGGTGTGTCCTTTCGGCTGAGTCTCGCTGATGTCCAGAACGGAAATTTCCTTTTTTCTCTTCCAGTCACTCTTTGAACGCCAGGGAATGGCAGCACACTCGGGGGTCCTTGCGGGAGCTGAGAAGCCCCACGTTTCGCTGCGCAAAGGAATTCCACGGACAAAATCTGTAGGTAAGGCAAACTGGGGGGAAATCCCTTCCTAAAGAGGAAAGGGTGTCCCCGTGGAGCGTTCATGCCCGCACGGGATCCAGGAGGAAAGACTCCGCTCTCTGCTGGCCTGGAACTAAGGGTCTCTGAAGAGGGGGTGGTTAATGTGATCTCTGCGTCAAAGGCCACGTGTGTCCTGAGGAGCCTCTTCGAACGCTGACACGGGTGCTGCTCTGAGCAGAAGGTTGGAGTGGAGACCTCCCAAGGTCCCTTGCTCTCTCCGTCTCTTTACGGCGCTGCCAGGGAAGGGGGAGTTTCTCCCACCCTCCGTGCGGGCAAATGAGGGTCGGTGGGTGATGTTCTGCCGGGCGGCGTAGCGGCTGGGCTGGGCGAGGGTAAAACCGTGGGCTGTAACGAAGGGAGACAATGGAGCAGGTAACAACTGGATTTTTTCCTAAGGAAAAGCAGGACAGGGCCTGGAACAGGGGGCTGGGTCGGGATCTCTAGACCCTGTCCCAGAAGGTTTACAGAGAGCCAGAACTACGCTGAGGAGGGAGAGGGGAGGAGGGGCAGAGTGAGCGCGGGCTGCGGGCGCAGGGACAGTGAGGGGCGCTGATTTCCTTTGGGGTTTGCGTTTGGGTGGGTTTCACCCGGGTGGTACCCCCCAGCCGCGGTGCGAGCGAGGGCCGAGGCTGTGCGGTCGGGGCTGCGTACCGCTGGCGTGGAGAAGCCGAAGGGCAGGAGGACGGGGCAGAGAGACGGGCGGTGTGCTGCGTGGCAAGTGCTAATTTTAAGTGACGCCACGGCATCGTTTGGTAGTAGCGGTGGTGCCAAAACAGATTGTGTGTTTAACACACAAAATAAGTGAATAGAAAGTAAATTCTGCTTCAGGCTACAGCTGAGAGCAGCACAGTCCCAGCAAGAATGTAAAAATTCGTTGAAAAATGCAAGGGTTAGTACTCAAAATGTGCTTTTTATTGTACAGAGCCACAGAATTGCTGTGCATACGTGGTCCACGTTGGTGGTTGTATGGGAGCAGCGGTACCTGTAGTCCCACGTGAGATCGGTCTGAGAGTAGTACATAGCTAGAGGTGATCAAATGTGTGTGTGATTCATCTGAAAAACAAACTAGGAGAGAGAATGTTTTTTAAAAAAAGAGTGGGTGTTTAATGGGCTGCCCCGGTGTGTACCTGACACCGTGTTGGTCACGCCACTGTCCTGCCCTGAGACCTACAGGCAGGAACCTCCCGCGGCACTGAAGAGCTGAACGAGACCCTGCGCCGCCCAGACGATGAGGTGCAGTGTTGGAAGCGAATGTAGGCATTAATTAGTCGCTCGTATGTCGCAGTGCTGTTAATGTACATGGTAGAAGGGGAGCAGAGCTGACTGCCGTGGTGCCTGGGCTCGCTGGGGTAGGAGTAACCGGCTAATTTTCTCCTGAAGGTAGAAGTGACCAGTAGCACATGCAGGGTGGGATGTGCTTCATCCAGTCGTACGCGTTAACAACGCAGAGATCTCCACCCAAGTAAGGGGCCGGGGAACCCTCTGCAGTCACCAGAGGGAAATGGGCACTTTTAACGTGCTTTACCCAATGTCTGGACTGGAATCCTGCACAAGTGCCTGTTGCCCGTGAGGGGCGTCTAGTGACGCTGCGTGTGCGGCGGCCTGGCAGACAAGTGGTGGCCAGTCATGTCTAATGCACATCTTTGTTCTGCAAACTATATCCTAGGTGGCTTTTTTATGTATGAGAGTGTTTGTGGAAATGCTTCTAAGCAGAAGTCGTTCAATCAAGCCGCAGACAGCTGGAAATCACATTAAATATTGCGTCCAGCTCGGGGGCCTCAGCACAGGAGAGACGTGGACCTGGTGGAGCGGGGCCAGAGGAGGCCCCGGAGATGCTGGGAGGGCTGGAGCCCCTCTGCTGGGAGGACAGGCTGGGAGAGGTGGGGGGGTTCAGCCTGGAGAAGAGAAGGCCAAAAAGGGGAGAGCTCAGAGCCCCTTCCAGTGCCTAAAGGGGCTCCAGGAGAGCTGGGGGGGACTCTGGGTCAGGGAGGGGAGCCGTGGGACGGGGGGGAGCGGTTTGACACTGACAGAGGGGAGATGGAGATGAGATGTGAGGAGGAAATTCTTGGCCATGAGGGCGGTGATCCCCTGGGGCAGGTCGCCCCGAGAAGCTGTGGCTGCCCCATCCCTGGAGGTGTTCAACGCCAGGTTGGACGGGGCTCGGAGCAACCTGGGCTGGGGGGAGGTGGCCCTGCCCAGGGCAGGGGGTGGAACTGGATGATCTTCAAGGTCCCTTCCCACCCAAACCATTCTGTGATTCTGTGAAAGGGGATGTGTTGTGTGAAATAGCATCCTAACCCAGTAATAGATCATAAACTGGAAAAATATTCATTAAATATGAGATGCCTGCCCGTAAGGAGCTCCTTTTTGCTTGAGGTGCGCTCAAGCTACGCCTCGTTGTGTGGCGCTCCCCGTGCAGGTGTATGTCAAGGATCTCGGTGTGCGGAGAACCATGAGAAAAGGGGTTTGAAGTCTGTAGGGTTTATACAACGGTAAGGTTTGTTGGGTTGTGTGTAGGGTTTTTCCGCTCATCGGCATGGAGCGTAACGTCCCGTGTACGTCTTTTCTGTTCGGCACCTGGAGCCTGAGACCCTGATCCTTGCACGGGACTCCCAGCCCTGACGGCTGCACGCCCCGTGCGACACGGGGATTGGCAACGCTAGATTTAATCTGTGTGGAGGAGGATTAAAAGCAGACCTGGAGATGGCCCGTTCTGAGCAGGAAGGGCTGCAGCTGTCACAGGCACAGCATCCAAGCACAACCCGACAACACATACAGGAAAAAACCACACATAGCTCTTAATTATGCTCAATCCGAGACCGCCGTGTGTCTGTCTGCACCGAACGGCACCGATTCCTCTTGAGGAGGGGACAGCAACTTCTTGTTTCCAGTTTGCCTGCCACAATACACACCAAAAGCGGTGCATCTTAGAAACCGGCTAATTTTTGTGGAATTCCAGATAAGCTAAAATAGAAAACAGCCAAGCAGTAGAAATTGGGTTGCAATTGGCTTGTTTTAGAAGTCCTTCTTGAGCTGTCATTTCACACCCACAATGACAGGCTCATACGCTGTACAGTCAGTTGACTTTATGATAAAAAGCACTACTAAAAGCAAGGAACTAGATGAAAAATAAGCAGGGGTTGGTTGGTGGGTTTGGTTTTTTTGGTGAAGAAATGCTCTGAATTATTTGCATATTGCACAGCTGGTTTAGATCCCCAGGGACTTGTGACAGAAGATCAAAGCATTTCATGTCCGCATCTAAAAACTTCTTGAGACGAAGGTAGTTAACCCTCGACTGGCTACAAAGAAAGCGGGACGGAAGAAATACTTCAACAAAAATACGAAGAAAAGAAATGCATTGCAGTGGGGAGGCTGATAGAAAAGAAAATCTCTGTCAGCCTTCCAAGATAGCTACCACGCCATCTGCTCCGGCATCAGAAGTTAAAAACACTTGCAAGTCTGCAGAACCATCATGGTACCCGCTAAGTCTCGCCCCGAGCGCACTCGGGATGATGCAGACGGCGGTTTTGCAGGGAGAGGAGCGGTGGGTCCCCGTGTCGGTTAGAAACGCGCTGGGCTGCCGGCGCTGGCTGTAGGTGGCAGATGCACCGCGCTGCCCAAGCGTTGTCCTGGCGTTCAGACAGACTCGGAGGGTGCCGGGCTCCGGCTCTGCCAGCTCGGGGGTGACCGCACGTCCGTGCTGCGTCCTTACTACCGAGGGTCTGGCGGGGGAGGCAGCCCACCCCATCCCCCTCCAGGACCGTCCTCCCCTCCACAGCTCCTGGGTGAACCCCCAGCGCTTTCTCCTCCTCTACGCAGGTTCTCAGGCTCTCCCTAGCTGCGATTTAAGCTTTGTGCCGTAGCAGCCAGCACAGTACTACCATTTCCCTGCTCTCTGAAGGGCAGTAGTTCTGTGGTTGCCCGGAGCTGATGGCGGCCTCAGGCACCCGGGGACAGTGATGCTTATCCGCTTTCTGCTTCTGGACAGGAGCGAAGCACCTTGGCACCTTTCTGCTGTAGCCGGGGGGAGCAGCCGGGGAGCTGCTCTGCCGTCCCTGCGCGGGGAAGGCAGTGCTGGGAACGGTGGGGTGTCCTCCGGAGAGAGCCACCTCATTAGCGATCCCAAATTAATGCGCAGAGTTAGATTCTCACAGGGATTTAGGCTGTTATGGCAACAGGCCCGAAAGCATTATGGAGAGTTTTTGTGTTTGCCTCAGAGATTAATAATGCATTGAGCGTGCTGTGCGGTGCGGAGGGGGGTTGCCGTGAGGCTCGTGGCATTGCCAGGCTGCGCTCCGGGCACGCACCCGCGGCGAGAGTCTCCTTTCAGAGCAGGGACGGTGGGTGCTCGGAGACGGGGTTCCTCGCTGGTCCCCGCTGGTCGCTGGAGGCTCCATTTGGACGCGGGGTCTTCATTCCTGCGTGCGCCGACCTCTGTGGTTGGATCCTGGTGATGTCTCGTTGCTCTTTGTAGGAAGCAGATACGCCCCACGACGGCGAAGACCAAGTACGTGCTGTTTGAAGAGAACTGAGAGACAGAATCTCAGTGGCAGTTAGCAGAGGGACGGGTTTGTTTATCTGTCATTGAAGTTTAATATTCCAGTTCCGCACATGGAGGATGGACCGGGCACAGCGGGAGGTCCCAGGCAGCACACAAAGGGTCGCACCATTTGTGACAGACAGCTGCTGCCGTGTCTTGGGGGTCATCCCCACCTCCACCATCCCTCTGGAGAACCTGGAAGAGCTCACAAGGTTTCACGTTCATCCGGTGCCCATGGGTGTGCGGTAGAGGGATGAGGTCCGGCGGCGCAGGGAGCACGTGGTTGCTGGCAGGAAGTGTGCCGGGAAACACAGGGCGGACGCCGTGCGTGTTCCTGCGACGCAGGGGAATGGCAAAGGGCAGGTCGGTGCCTGCTGGGTCGAGATCAATGGGATGAAAGGACAATCTGGTTCAGGTCCTA